CCCCCCGAAGTACCCTTGTCCTGTCACTCATCTGCCCTTTGCAACGATGGTGGATGCAGTTTCATATCCAAACACTAGTGACGCTGATGAATCAAACAGGAAAGTCCAACATWAAAAAAGCTTATAGAAGTCAAATCGAACTCTCCTGCATACAAAAATGGCTGGTTTTCTCTGTTTGAGAGTATTTTAATCTATGTTCAAGAAAAATGCACGTAGAATTGGTTAGGAGAATTACTGTTCAAGCTTCGTATTTAATTACATGACATGTTTGAACATGTGACCAAATGTATCAAAACCGGGGATTTGTGTGCAAGTGTGTTGAAGAAATACTTGSCCCCCTTTATAAATATCGTGGCCCCATAAAAAAAATCCTAGATCCGCCACTGCCTAAAATGTGCTGAAACATATCCCCAACAAACACTCAGAGCATTAACAAACTGTGCAAAAACTTGGTTTAAAGTTTCATCATTAACAATTTGGAGTCTGGGCTGTCAGTCTGTCAGGAAATTGCTTACAATTGAGGTTCTTAAAACTTAGTATTTGAGTGGCAGGTTGTCACAAATTTAATGTTGTTTGGATCTGTCCAACTGGTGGCTAAAACTTAAGGATGTTTTTTTTTTTTTTCTGCAACATGGGTATTAAGTTTGTTGCTGTTTTCCCTTGTGTCTTCCTTCCAGTGAGCGCAGCTGGAGACTTCAACAAGTAGAGGTGATTAAAAGCCTCTGTCATTATTCTTTCACTCGTTAAGACGGCGCTCTCGGATTTCAAGTGTCTCCTTTTACACTCCCGCGCAGYCACATTCATCATGGGAGCGGAGCTGAAGTCTTACTGCGGCCGCTCCGCTGGAGGAGGATGCAAAACACACACACACACACAAAAACTGAGTGTGGGATGGACCCGAAGGGCGACTACTGGTCCCAACAGGCTTTGGGGAGAGAGAGAGGGTGAAAAAAAAAAAAAAAAAAAAAAACGCCGGAGCATGAGTCGAGTGATTCTTTCTGCTCATTTCTGACACAGTTCACCACATTTCATCCACTCGGAAACTTATTATCCCTCCAAGTCCTGGGCGTACCTACAAGAGATATTTGGCTCCCCCTTGACAGAGGAGTAAGGTGAGGGAAGGGGGTCACAGCTCCATAAATACTCGGGGACTCTGGTTGGACCTCATAGGAGTAAATACAGCAGGGGAAGCTCGCGCGCAGGAGATGAGCGGCTTTTTTTCTACTTCACTTTTCTAAACAGATTTAATCGYCTTCTTTTGTGGAAGTTGTGTCTTTTGGAACTCAATTTTCAGCCTCTTTTTAATACTTTCCCCCCCTCACAGAATGCAATGTAGTTCACCCTCACAGAACTCAAAGTGAGCCATTTGTCAGGATGACAGCGCTCGCTCTTCTTGCGTGGAGCAGCTTGGCGTTTCTCTCCGGCGCGTTCTGCGGCGTCAGCGACAACCATGTGCACTCCAGCTTCATCTACAGGCGCTTGCGCAATCACGAGCGCAGGGAGATCCAGAGAGAGATCCTCTCCATCCTGGGCTTACCCCACCGGCCGAGGCCCTTCTCTCCCGGGAAGCAGGCGTCCTCCGCGCCGCTCTTCATGCTCGACCTCTACAACGCCATGGCCGTGGAGGAGGAAGAGGAGGAGGAGGAGGGGGAAGTGGTGGCGAGGGGCTTGCATCAGGGCGCGGTGGGGAAGAGCCTCGGTGCCAGGGCTCCGGGGCACGCCAGGAAAAGTTTCTACAGCCCCCAGTACGCGGGGTACACCCGCGCAGCGCAGCCCTACAGAGCCCATCTGCTGGGCCACAGTCCGGCTCTCAGCTCGGCGCACGACACCAATTTCCTCAATGACGCCGACATGGTCATGAGTTTTGTCAATTTGGGTGAGTGACTGATCAAACAAACCAATGTCCTCAAAAATCACAAGAAAAGCAAACTAATCAATTTCCTATTAAATCACTTTATTTAAAAAATATCTAACACCACAGAGATGCAGTTAACTGATTTATTTTGTGAACCTATATTAGGATATTTCAGCACAATAACAACATAACATGAATAAAATGCATTTGTTGGTCTGTGTTGCAGAAATTACTCAAAATAATTTGGCACATGCAGATGTTGCAAATATTTTTTCTTAATAACATAGCTACAATCTAATCTAAATAATAATAATAATAATAATAATAATAATAATAATAATAATAATAATAATAATAAACATTTCCCTTTGGCTAATAATGGGTATCCTTATGTGTGTGAAATACTTTTGCATTTCACACAATCAAAGGCCAACGTTTGTCATTTTCTGCTGCTTTCCATTAAAGCAGCAGTTGATCTGGATAATGATTGTATTTGTTCGGTAGCCGCGACCCTTAACCTAGCAGTTCAGAGCAACTTATCAGATGACTGTCTGACCTTGAGAAAATTGGTCTCAATTATTTCCTGTTGTTAAAAAAARGGGGAGTGATGTTGATGGATGCCTGCATGTGAGGTTCTGTCACTATTAGTGAGCCCTAAAACTTGTTCCCTCTGTTATTCYACAGGATTTATTGTTCAGTGAGGAGAATTCAAAACATGCCACATGGTAAATTACTCAAGCAGTTAAAGGGCTACCATTCCACGAAGGAATGCGTATTGCCTTCCACATTTTCTTTTTGGCCAGAATTCGAAACAAAGATTGGCTGTGATGATAGAGTTGTAGATGTTTTGGWGAAATCGTTATCATGCAATGCAATATCAAAAGATGCCAAACTCAGAGTTTTTGGTGCGAAAGGCTCTCAGCTACAAACACACAAAACTTCAGCACAGTTTGTGTAAATKTGACTGACTTATAGCCACTTATGTGTTGCCTATATTTGATTAGCTATGGTGATGAACTTGAACTGAATCAACTTCAAATTGGAAACATTTGTAGACGTSCATCCAATGATTATTTCCTGAAACTTTCATCAAAATCCATTCAGTGGTCCATGAGTTATTTWGCTAACAGACAGAGTTGACTTCAGCAGTTAACGCTTTAGTTTTGCACAAAGATCTTTTACAACGATTAGCCCCTGAAATATGTGTTGTGAATGACTCACAGCTGCAGTCACAAAATCTTAGCGCAAACTCTGTCAAATTGACTGAATTATATTTCTTTTTGTCATACAAATGTTTAGTTTGAGGTAGTTGCCAATTTAAGCGAAGTTGACTCCAAAAGTTAATCAGTTGTCGACATATATCTAATGAATAATGTCTGCAAAAATGATTAAAATATGTTCAGTGGTTCGTTAGATATTTTGGTAACAGACGCACGCATAAGCAAAACAGCAAAAAAAAAAACAAAAAAAACATTGTCATCAGCGCTCCGGAATAATGCTGCACTCTTGAACATATAAACACAGTATTTCAAACAAATCTTATCCTACAGAGAGTAAAGCGTGTCAAAGTCAAAACTGCGTACTGCATTGCTTGAAAGGATAATCCCTCACATTGGTCTGAGGCCATCTGTTTCCACTTACCACTACACCGGGGCATGTACACTGTCAGCCTTGAAAGCTCTGCCCTTGTTCTGGGGACTGTCAGTGAGGTTCTCAATGGGGCTCTGTCTTTATTACAGTATGCTCAAACCCAGCAGCCGACCTCAACTGTTTTACAGACATCTTTCCTGCAGTTTGATATGTTGACTGTCACCACGTGAACCTGAAATATCAATGAGAAGTCAACACCGGTAAAATTCAMAAAAAAAAAAAAAAAAAAAACGCACCGAAGACACATAAAGCACCGGTTGTTTGATTTGCTTTACGCGGTCCTGTTCAAAACAAGCTGACTTTAATGGAGAATTCACGCAGCTGAGTCGTAGCGGGGAGTAAAGTTATTGAATCTTTAAGCTGTTTGAAAGTTAAAGGCTCTTGGCTCTCAGTGGCACTTCTGCTTCAGATTACAGCCTGTGGTTAATTTAATAGAACACACTCAATGGGTACAAAGTCAGGCCTGACCTCTGACTTGTTTGTGCTAAGTAACCGCAGGGGTCCTCTCCTGATAAAACATCAGGGAAACAAACTGCATAATATCACTCAGAACATTCGCTGACCTCAGTCTGAAACCTTTTTTTTTTTGCCTTGAGGGTTGTGGGACGTCACTTTGCCGGCTCGTTCACTGTCTTTGATGTTTAAATCGAAATGCCCCCTCAGCTCCTGAAAGACATATTATCTATTRCACCTTTCATTCAAAAAATGTAGTTTTAAATATTTATGATCATGGAAGAGTCTTTTTTTTTTTTTAACCAGAGGTGAGTGGCAGGTCAGAAATGAGGTCAGAGTAGACGTTCACGTGGCGCTGAAGAATCCTGTCTGGTCTTTTCTCTCTCTTCAGGAGCAGAAGAAAGTGTCTTTAATTGAAATCAGCCTGTTTTTCTTAACTGACAGCCCATTCATCACGGCCAGAGAATGCAGTGCGGCACACAGTAGAGGGCCTGTCTGGGAACTGCTACCTGTATTCAGTTGACTGATTTAATGAAGTGGAAAGTGCTTTTGTTGGTCCTCAAAATGTTTTGATTGGATCATGCATGTAAAAGAAGATGTGATAAATTATTCTTTTCCCCCCCTTCGGCAATCCCAGTTCAGGAGGTGAACTCATATTTTCAGTTGAGTTTTACTGGCAGTAAAAAAAACAAGAAGTTCTTCATGTGATTTTTTCTTTTTTTTTTCTAGTGGAGAATGATAAAGATTTTTCTCACCAAAGAAGACACTACAAGGAGTTTCGCTTTGACCTGACTCAGATCCCAGACGGAGAGGCGGTGACTGCGGCAGAGTTCAGGATCTATAAGGACCGCAGTCATGCTCGCTACAACAATATAACCCTCAAAGTTATGATATATCAAGTCATCAAGGAATACCAAAATAAGTAAGTGTACCTAAAAAAAACTACTCCTTTAGGAAAATGTAAGTAGATTGTAGTTACAYGCATGCTGTTTCTTTCACTGTAAACTATCACTCAGTAAATCTTCTTACAGTCGGGACATTATTGTGCTAAAAACACTGTGCCACTTAAACTGAATTGCTGTAAATGCAAGAAAGTCAACACTTYATTAAATATGGTCTGTTGTAAAAAAGCACTGCATCGTGTTAAGTGTAAATGCTAGAAATGCTAGACAAACTGCAAGAAAAAACTAAAATATGAGCAAGGAAAAACAGGTACTCTTAAATTATAATTTTATAAGGTAACTTTATGTGGGTCTAGATAAAACTTAATTAAAATATAGACCTGGATCACCTGCTACTTGGGGATTTTCAACCTAAAATTGGCTATTTCTACTAATTTTAATAGTAATTTAGCAGGAACAATTCTAATAACTGCACAGTATCTGCTTGCTATAATCGCATACAGTATATTGGCATTGTTACTATTGTTGTTGTTATTGTTAATTGTTTATATCTATCTATCTATCTATCTATCTATCTATCTATCTATCTATCTATCTATCTATCTATCTATCTATCTATCTAT